GAGACAAAAAATCAATGATGACAATGTACCAAGACTGGAGTTGGGATGCTTGCCAAGATCCGACATGTCTAAAGACACCGGTATTTGAAAAGTGATGTCCTCCTTCTAGAAGATGTATGCATGCGAGTGTATGAATTCAAGTGTAAACTCAAAAATATATTCCAACTATGTGGTATGTTGGTTTGTGAATATTTTGATTGGTTGCTCCAATTTTTGTCATGTGTGGAGGATCAAGGAGTCGAGTTTGGACAGGAGGTATGGGAAAAGGTGTTCAAATGCTCATGCACCCCGTGTCATTGAACTCTGTAAAACCTTTTGCCGTTGGAAGAGTCGTGGTTGTGTTTGATTCGAATGTTAGTAAAGAAAAGCCGGTTTGACACTTATGATAATTGTCCGAACGAATCAAAATATTCAATTGAATATTTTTATTTTTATTTCCTCTTCTCAAAATAAACTTAACACCGAAACACTGACTCGAGAATCACACTTGTCAAAGCATTCAGAGTTTTCTAGCTTCCGTCTTGACTCTGAGTAAGAGTAGAGTTTCGCTAATGTAATCTGGGGTTTGGTGCTTGACCATGGCAATGTTGCCTGGTGTCTGATTGTTGCCTTCCGATGTTCTTTTGGCCAGCCATAAGATTTGAATTTTGAATGGCACTTGAAGTTTTAAGATTCGTGATATCGGCATTGGGTAATAGTCTAAGAAAGTCATTCTACGAGTTAAGGAGTTTTCCGCTTAGCACTTGCGTGGAATGCAGGTCCTGGTGTCATAGGGTTTTCGTCGGCTCAAGTTGAACCCGCGTGCTGAACTCTATCTTCGTGATGAAAGTTTAGATGCGTGTTTCGCATTGAAAGTTCACACACGAGATTCAATTCTCAGTAACACACCGTGTTTATAATTCATTTGGTGAATTGGGTTGCTCTTACTTAGAGAACCCAAAAATAAACTTCAGGTCGGTAGGTGGTGGAACACGCAATACCTGCGCCATTCGTTCATTTGATATATTATTGATAAATGCCGAATATTCATATCCAATTGTTTTATGTTTCTATCAATTTGCTTTTTTGAAACGTTAGTTGATTACAGTTTAAATCAATTAGCCTGGTTTGCGGAAATCGAACTCACCAAATGAACATGGTAGACGACATCAAATCTTAATTCCGCTTCTTTACTCCACCGGCACGTTCAATTTAAGTTATATATCCCCTCGCCCGTCTTCATTGGCAGAAGAAAATGACAAAAATTCAACACGCCAAGCTTTCATTCCCGAGGGTAAAGATCTAAGGAGATAATTGACGCCAGCGAATCAAGCTCAAGGCATTGACGACAATTTGGTGGTTTCTATGCTCATGTGATAGATAACGAAATTAAGGACAAGATTTAGGAAATTCTTGGAGCAGCTAGAAATCTTGGTTCGGTACGAATTATTAGATGCAGCCGCATGAGCGAAGACAATTATCAATTGCTAGTCTGACTTCAGAATTCATCTCAACTCGAGGGATGGGCTTGGTGATATTAGGAAGAGCTAATGAGCTTCAATGCACAAGACACACACCGTAAAGATATTAGCAGAGATACAACTGCGGGGTTTAGTTCGCCTGATCAAGTGACAGCTATACTTTACAGATCTTCCCACGTTTAATGCAAGTCACCTTTGCATCGTTTACAGAATAAGCGAGAATCTTTCCGAGGGGAAGAAGCATTCGCGCACGTCGATACATTTCTACCCCTCATACATCAATAGAGTATCTCGTATGCATCAATCAAAAGTTAGAAAAACCGGGATATGGCGACATCGTGCACTTTGACAATCTTAGCGATGCGGAGAAAGGTTTATTTCTTGGGTGATACGAGATCTCCGCACATGTAAAAATCCCATTCTTTCCTCATCTCGTCTTGTCCCCATGCCATTCTTTGGTATAATAAGCTTTATATGAGGTTTTGTTGCAGATTTGTATCCGCGTGATAGTATTCGTGGGGAATGGAGAACGCGGGGTTCTTGCATAGGAGTAAAGTATCGATGATAATGGACGATGAAATGATATTTCTCTTTTGCAAGTCTATCTAATTAATTAGTATGAGAATACTTCGGAGTGTTGATTAGAGTTTTCATAAAGTAATTGTTAGTCGTCTGCTTTATGTATGTCCTGTCTCACTTTACATTGATATCGAAAATCTACAAACTCAAATTTGATGTCTGAGATCTTGGCTCCACTGTTAAGATGGATGAAAATAGTTGGATTGTGAAAAGATGGACATGTCAGAGTTGCATCCATGTGATGTGGGATTTTCTGCATTAGTCCGCTATTGTTATGTTTGGGTTTGGAATGGTGATGGTAAAGAGTAATCGGCTTGCTGAGAGAAAGGTCGTTAGAGACAGCAATGTGGACGAATCTGAAAAAGCTCCCAGCTTGGGTATATTGGAAGCTCATGAAGATCAATTCACGACGGAAAATGTGAGGATGTAAGAAGAAAATGAATGTTCACACTGCTCGCGTGACTACTAATTTGGAAGAAAAGAACCAGGTGACAAGATATGGGATCGGATGGAGTTTGACTACGAGTAAGAATACTAGATAGTGTGCGTTGAGATGGATCGAAATTTGGAATTTTATAATATTAATGTACCGATGCGTGATTTGAAAGAATTGTGAAAGCTGCAATGGGTATGAAGAGTACAACTTCAAAAGAAGAACAAGAAATCCGGAGATAATCGAGAAAAAAAGAGATGAGAAGGGAAGAATTGTAAGAATCAGTAATTTTGATAGAATGAATTATACGTATCCGCAAGGAAAGAAGTAACACCATAAATCTCAATTCCATAACCACATAGATCTCAATTTCATAACCATCATCTCCCCTCCCCTCTCACCAACCCCTCAATCAAACCATTAACCCCCTCTAAAATTCCCCCGCCTTCCCCCTAAACCCCCACCTCATCTGATGCGCCACCATAATCCTAACCCCCAACTCCTCCGCCCACTCCCACACCAATCCCGGATTTTTCTGAAACCCCCTCGCTACAATCACCAAATCTAATTCCGTCCCTTTCCCCTCTCCCTCCTCATCCACATCCACACCCCTCTCCCCACCCCTCCCACTCAACAACCCCTCCGCCTGCTTCCCACTCCCAATCATCCCCACCGTCCCAACCAACATCCTCTCCCCCACCGCCCTCTTAATCTCCTTCGCAAACGGCGCCTGATACCCCGGCCCCGCCGTAATCTTCTGTCTCGGATGATTCGCCCCCGAAGAAACATCCATCAAATCCACACCCCTATCCGCCAACAACCCCGCCAATCTCGCCGAATCCGCCACCGTCCAACTCTCCTCCTCAAACCCCTCATAATCCAACCAATCCGTCGCGCTAATCCGCACAAAAAGCGGCATTCCCTCGGGAATAATACTTCGCGTGAGTTCCACAATCTCAAGCGTGAGACGAATGCGATTTTCAAAACTCCCTCCATACTCATCATTCCGTTTATTGGAAACCGGAGACACGAATTCGTGAAGTAGATACCCATGCGCATTATGGATTTCAATAACATCGAATCCAGCTCTTAGTGCGCGCTTAACAGAAGCGGCCCATGCATCTTTAAATTCTTGAATATCTTCAAGTGTCATGGCAGAAGGCGTGCAATGATGTTCATCAAAGGGAAGAGCGCTTGGCCCTTTGACTTTGCTGGGCCATCCGCCTGCGGCCTCTGTTGCGATGGCGGCGCGATCGAGCCATGGGGCTACCATGCTTGCTTTTCTGCCGGCGTGGCCCAATTGAATTCCGATTAATTGGCCCTGGGAATGTGCAAACTGCACAACTTCTTTTAGTTTGTCGCCTTGAGAGTCTAACCATAATCCGCTGTCTTCAGGAGTAATTCTTCCTTCGGGTAAAACGGCGGTAGCTTCTACCATTGAGAGACCTGGGCCCCGGGAGATAATGCCGCCTAGATGAGCCATGTGCCAGGGAGTAAAGTGGCCGTTAGAAGCGGAGTATTGACACATTGGAGAGAGCATGATACGGTTTTGGAGAGTGAGAGAGCGGATTTTGAGAGGGGTGAAGAGTTTGGGTGTTGAAGGGCTGGGATGGAGGGCTGTGCCTGAGGGAGGACTTTGGAGAGGGGTGTAGAAGGGGACCTAGATGATGTCAATGATTTGTATTCTTGAGAGAGCATTGGAGAACGTACACCAGGTGCAGGTGTGTTGAGAAGACCTGGTCGAGGAGTACTAGTACCACATGAAACACCATGTTGGGGATGAGGTGTTGAAGTTGACATTGTTCTTTGATATTATTATTGTAATTCACAAGATTGTTGTTGGAGACCAAATAGATTGAACTGTATATGTCTATTGGAAAACAGTGAGGACTTTCTCAATCTTAAATATTCACTCCATACAAAGAAGCCTTTCTCCCCGCACCTACATGATGCATCGTCGCATGACATCACGCCAACCTTCCATGCATGCTCCAGACTTTGATGAATAACAAACTCGCATTCTGTTTGAGGTCCCTTTTCGGTATCGTACATCTCTAGTCTACCAAAATGCCTCCAAACATAGCTCTACTATTTGTTGGATTTAATTCATCGTACCACAGCTGTAAACAATCGGGATTGATTGGAGATATTTCGTCCATTCCGTTATGTTGTATTGAGGGTTAGTAATCTTGCTGCAGTGACCAATACTTTTTGATGAAAGGAGAAAAGGCTGTTATGGAAATAGGAAATTGACTTGGCATCTTCCCGTGTGATGCCCGATACATTCCTGTGCTACCGAGCCGAGTATTGTCCGACATACACACTGAAAACGATTAGGACTCTACATTCCGAGCATTTGGGCACGATGTTTTCGGAGAATAAAATTAAATTAACCAAGATGCATTTTGATCTATGATCTGAACCATTCTCTTTTAGATCATCACGGAGAGCGGCGAGTAGAAACCTTGAGTAAGAACGCCATAGTATTAATTGTAAATTCCTTTGAATACACAAATCCCATCAATCCATTACATGATGACTTCATTGGAAACATCCTATTTTTGTTAGTAAAAATACGAGAGTACCACGGAATAGAAAAACATACTCTCTTCAACTCCTTGAATGGCAAACAGACGCAGTTCTGCACACGAACTTCATCACCAACTCCACACTCCTTACCCAAGATCGTAATACTTTGAACCTTGACACCATTCTTGATGATGCTGGTAGTATGGCTATTAGCTGGTGTAGGAGTTCCCTCAACACGAGCCCAAGCACCGACTCTACTGTTCCATCCAATAATTGAGTAGAGAACACAAGCGTCATGCTTAATTTCAGCATCTTCCAAGACAATAGACTCCTTTACTCTGACACCAGGGCCAATAACAGCACGAGGACCGATTGAAACATTAGGTCCAAGTTTGGCGGTTGGGTCGACATGTGCAGTTGGATGAATGAATACTGGTCCGAGGATATTGGCAGATGGTTTGGCCAATTCCTTAGAACCAGTTTGCGATGCCTTTTGGAGGTATAAGGCATTGGCTGGAATAGCTGAGCCAGCGGTTTTGATTTGTCTCCAGAAATCCTTGGTCTCATGAACGAAGAATTGTTTGCTGTCGGCAAGATCACTCAGAATATCTTGTTCCAATCTAAGAACTTCATTCTTTTGTACATCTTCATCATCTTGGAAGAATGAGGAGTCGAGGTTCTCGGAGGATGGGTAGGAAACAAGACGTGGACGGTCGGTACGGCGCTTGATGGCAGTTCTGATGGAAGGGAAGATACATTCGGTTGCGAAGAGATAAACACCGCAGTTGATCAAGTTCGAGATGTGCGATTCTGGCTTCTCAACATAATGAAGAACTCGACGGGAGTGCGAATCGGAAACGATGCAACCGAAGTTGCTAGCAGCATCTTCACTGACACGGGTACCAAGAATAACAGCTTCAGCATCTCTATCTTCGAATAACTTAAGCATATCATTCAATGGGAATGAACAGCAGACATCTGCGTTGAGAACGAAGAAACGTTCTGGCCGTCCCTTGAGGATAGCATCTCTGAAATGATATAAACCTCCAGCAGTTCCCAAAGCTTGGTATTCTCTAAGGTAAACGATCTTAATTTGAGGGAATTCGTGTGCGGCATCCTTGATGAAATCGCGGAAAACGGATTCGTCGTAGTAACCGATCATGCATACTTCTTCAATGGAGGGGACTTTTGCGATGGCGGTCAGACAGTGCCAGACGATGGGATGACCAGCAACTTCGAAGAGTGGCTATAGGTAATGAGAGTTAGTCAAATATCGAAAGAAAAGGATATAATTGTATATACCTTTGGAAGATCCAAGGACAATGGTCTAAAGCGGGTTCCTCTGGATGGTCCACCAACCTAGTAGCCTCATCATCAGCCTTCTTCCTTGCGCATCTGCATACTTTCATGAATATAGAATTACCAGAATGACAGCCTTTGTTGCTGCTTGAGCAGCACTACCTGGTCTTGCTCTATGAGGGATCTGTAGGGACATTTTGAATGATTGAAGTGGTGAGGATATTTTTTTTATGGATGTTTTTCAATATAATTCTGCAAAATTAACAAGAACATGAACATGAACACCTGGCATTGGTTCTAGAGCTGTGGAATTTCAATAGTATGGCTTGTTCCGTTGGAATCAGGGGCCTCAATGGTCCGTGCACGTGCATATAACACATAAATCATACACAAGTCATGTGAAGATAAGAGGATAAGCCAGCTAGTACGCAGCTCGTGACTCCACTTTCTTTCCCCTCATTCCAGCCCAGCGAGATATTTCACTTCAATCAGACTTCAAGTCTAATAAGGATTATTATCATACCTCACTCACAACATTCAACCATGAGACTCGATCATACAGCGACAGGAAAGAGAGCTTCTCGTTCGGTCCATGTGAGAAGCCGAGTCAAAGAAGCAAATTCAAGAATCTCAGCCACCACAATCCATTCCATTGGATAGGCGCATCACATCAACATGGATCAAGACTCAACTACCCGTTACCGCGGGGTGATTAGAGTGAAGTCTGTCAATTTTGAGTCCAAACATCACTCCAATCTGCGTGAATTCCCCAAACTGGCAGTGAGTACAGGATCAAGGTCTATCCAAATGGTACAGCTGCATATCTGAAGTTCTATCAGATTATCTAGTGTTTGTGAAATTAGTTTGGCCATTCTTTGCAATTTTGGTAGGTATCTATCAGTCTTGATAGGGAGGGCCATATAAATCTGATAGTCGTCTGAAATATACCAAAGTGATATCAAACAAAAACAAAACAAAGCTAAAGAATTGAGGTTATTCAGCTTTCTCTGATCGCCGATTCCTAAGCCTTTCTTTCCAATTTATCATTCACTCTCATATTCTTTTGTCTCTCATTCGATGGAATTTACTTGCCCTCAAGACCATATGTAAACACTTTACGCGGTCACGCTCGCGTATTCTGAGAATATTTGATTCCTTCTATTTTCCTTTCACCATCAACTTTTTCTCTATCCAATCTTCTTGTCCCTTGTATTAAGTCCTCGTCGACTCCTGCAAAGCTACTTGCAGAAACCTCGAAGTTAATCGCCATTATTCTACTTCTGTATACAATTCCAAGTTGCTGCCTTGCAACAATCCTCTCCCGCAGTTTTCACAGCGTTCTGCTGGCTGGTTGGAACGATCTTAAATCTCATAGAACAGTCTTCTGCCTTTGTTTTATCAAACCAAGATCCCATTTGATGCTTCTAGCTCTCACTCTTGCACGGTATGGTATTCCGACTTTCAATCTTCACATGTATGGAATGCAGCGCACCACGATCTTAAAACTTCGCATGCCTTTAAGTTTATCGATCTATGCAGTAGCTGATACATAATTGATGCAGGATAACACTCCCAAAATTTGTATAATCCATCCTCATCATGGCTTATCGGGTGCCCAGAAATCGGAAAGAGAACTTCACTCCCACGAACGGCCAATTGTCAATTTCTTCAAGCACAAAACTCCCACCAGGTCGTCGGGCAGTCAAGAAGGAAAGACCGGCCACTAAAGATCTACAAGGCACTGTAGAGTTTCAAGCTGAATCAGAACAGCCTGGATCTGATCCAGATCATCATTTTGACAACAGTGAGAGCTAGTTTATCCATATGCTTCATTGTACGTTAGCTAATCACCAATGAGTGGCAGGATACTCACCTAATTCCTATTACCTCGCCGATAACAACCCCAGAAGCAAATCTGCTACCATCGATATGGAGAACGGCGATGGTATCAAGAGGATCGGCGAGCTCGCGCAGAAGCTGATCGATCATATCAATGAGATGCGAAAATTTGAACTTGAGCATGTTGCTAGCCTTCCCAAGCTCATACTTGTTGGAGACCAGAGTGCCGGAAAATCATCACTGATGTGTGCCTTGGCAGGCATACATGTACCTCGCGACAAGGGCTGTTGTACTAGATGTCCTGCCAACATAATTACAACACCATCGATAGATTGGTCATGCACAATCTCACTTGTTCAGGATTATCGGTACGACGCGCCAAAGGGACGGGCAGTGACAATTAAGGACGTAAATGAACACCAACCTTTTCCGCCTTGGGTTGCACAAGATCAGGTCCGAACTGAGTTCGCTAGACTCACGGACAAGGGGAAACTTGCGGAATACATGAAATGGGCTCAAATTGCTCTACTTAATCATGATCAGGATTATAAGATTTTTATACCTGGTACCGGAGAACGAGCTCTAACAGGTAATATCGAAATAGAGGCAAAAATCACGCCCAATGTTGTCGAAGTGAAGATTTACGGACCTCAACTCCCTGCTCTTTCGTTCTTCGATTTACCTGGTATTATTTCCAATATGCCAAACCCAGAAGAGAAATACTTGGTGGATGTTTTCGAGAGCCTTGCAAAAAAGTTAGCTGAGTTGTTTCTCCTGAAAATTTTCGCAATCACGCTCACAATTCACAGGTATATTGAACAAGAAAATACTTTGATCATCTTTGCCATGAGTATGACTGTTGATCCGGTCTTATCGAGAGCAAAAAAAGTCATCGAAGATTTGAACGCAACAAACCGATGCGTGGGAGTATTAACAAAGCCAGACACTCTAGCAGATAGGACAGGTAACACAGATTTCGAGAATATCCTGAGAAATAAGGAACATCGACTGGGACATGGCTGGTTAGTTACCAAACAGCCTGGGCAAGAATTTCGAGCGGATGAATCGAAGTATCATGAAAAAGCTCGCGAGGAAGAGGAAGAATTCTTTAAACATGATAAACTGTGGAACGGTCCATGGTCTGATTTCCTCGACAGATGTGGTACCAACCGGATTCAAAATGTCCTTTCTGAACTCCTCGTGACTTCTATAAAGGAAGAGTCAGTATCCGAGTACCCTTCGATTCTTGAACCTATCTAACATATATAGTATCCCTCAAATACAAAAGAAACTTAGTGCGTATAGAGCTACGATCGATGAAGGTCTCCGGAAGCTTCCAGAGTTGCCGAGCCAAAACGTCCAACTTGAGGTTCAGAGATTACTGCATAATTTCAGCCAAGAAGTTAAGAGGCTTGTGACCAGTGAGCATACTGAGACCAATTTCCATGGGGATTGGACCAAGCTTTCGCGCCAATTTCACGATTTATTGATACATATTAAGCCATTGATCGGCTGCTCTCATAAATCAGACAAACAAAAGATCCCAGTCATTAGTCTTGACGAAAGTGACGATGAAGAACCTGCATTTGTTGATGCTCCCGATACATCTGGTAGGAGGCGCAGATTCCAAGATGTAAGTAGTAATGTTGATCCCCCGCCAACATTTAAAGCAGAAAACTCGACCCCTGAAAGACCCAGACCAAGACCGATACTCAATGCCAAAGGTCCGTCAAACCCTTTCCGAGGCACCGTCTTCCAGGAATATGTAGGACTTGGTCGGAACTTTGCGACCATTGGCGATATTCAAGACAAAATGCAGAATAGTAGCTATGGTCTACCAAAGGTAGTGGATCCCAGGATTCACCGATTTTATTGTCAAAAAGCTGTGAGCAGGTGGAAAGAGCCCTACATAGCAGTCCTTCATGCCGCTATGAAAATACTACGTCTATCTGTGCAAGGTATCCTAGAGAAGCATCTAGGCATCTATCGACAAACTTTCCTCTTCAAGAGATCGATGACGGCTATTCATGAATGGCTTGACAAGCTTCAAGAACAACAGCTCCAAACGCTTGAAGATATATATCAAACGGAAAACTTCGCCCCATTCACTTTGATGGAAGACGGCATCAACGAGAATAAGAAGACTGAGCTGGAGAAACTTCAGCAATCTCGTCACAAGCATCGTGCTAATTGTTTTGTTGACAAACAGTTAGCCATGAATATCAAAAAGATCAAAGCGGAAAAATCTACGCCCGAATATCACAAGGCGAGACAGATCCTCGTAAGTCAAGTTACTCCGGAACAATTGGGTAGAGATGACTTTGATGTTCAAATCGATGTCGCGGCTTACGTTCGAGGATATTATATTGTTGCAGCAAATAGATTTGCGGATAGTGTGTGCCTCAGCCTAAATAATCGTTTGTTTCGCCACGTCCATGAACAAGTGGAGAACTATCTTGAAAATGCACTGGGTACTAATCATCCTGAAAATGGTAAGTAAATATTTACACTCTTATTTAATACCACAGAGACTTATACGAATAAAAATCTAGGCATTAGCAACAGCCAAACTCTGATGCAGGAAGACAACAATGTGGCCGAGGATCGCCGCAAGCTCTACAAAAAGAAGAAAAATCTTACAGATTTCGAAGAGCGGTTCATGAACCTTGTTGCAGACTGCAATAGCCCTGGAGTTGATGGGTACAATGATTCACGTCTTACATCCCCAGAGGAAGCTAATCATTCAGAAACCCCAGAAAATGAGCAACTCAGATATCGCGGCCAAAGCCCTATTGAAGATATGTTAAGCCGACGCCGCGGTGTATATGATTATGAGCATGAGATGCGACAGGCTCACAAGAGAGGTAGTGGCTACGTCAATGATTCACTAGAGATTGACGAAGTTTGAATATATCGGGGATTTTTGCTCTGACCTCGTTGTCTGCGCCTCTTTTCTTTTGACTCCTTGATCTTCTCTTGTATGCCATCAATTACCTCGCTCCACTTCGCTTGATAACCACTCAGTTTCTTATCTTCTTTTCACTTGCGGTCTACGCTGTCCGTTCTAGTACTTTTGCTTATTCAACATCGAAGTCCTCTTCATTATCCCGAGATAGATGAAGATGATTCAGCAACTGGTCGGTCACCTATTACGGACTGCACCATTTTGCTATCTCTTTCTTTCACAGCCACCTTGTCTTCTGGTCACACAGCTTTCACCAGAGAACTTGGAAGGAGGCACAATTCCAATTCGTCACACCTCGACCTTCTCCACTTAGAGTCTACCCGGTTAGAAGGAATTGATCGATGTACTGGTCTCAATTTAATCACACGCACATGTACCACCACATCTGTCAT